GGAAGCCAAGCTGAGTCAGGATGCCAGAAAAACCAGAGAGAGCGCCAAGCTACAGGGGAGATCCAAGACAGGGTCGGGAAGAGCCAGAGCTGACTCAGAAGTCAGAAGAACCAGGGACAGCAGTGAACACGAGGCCTGCCAGAACAGATGGAGGCTGTGTGAAGGCGTGCCTGAAACCTGAGGCAGCAGGTGTGTGTAAAAGGGGTGAGTGGCACTTGCAGCTGCCGGTCTGGTTGCAGAGAACTGGGTCAGCCATATCAGCCAGGGATTGGGGCAGGTGTGGTAACTCGTGCCTGGCCCAGCCCAGCCAGGCCTGCTCAATTGGAGTCCCTGCCAAATGAAGATGGAAACGTGGTCTTGCCACTTCACTTGGTCCAGATGGCACCCGATCCTCCCAAACCTGGGAGTGGAGGAAATGTGAAGCCAGAAGTTTCTCCACGCAGAGAAGGGGCAGAACCACACAGCTTCACAGGTGCAAACAGCTATATCACCTTGTATTAATAGCACCTCATTAATTAGGGTAACCCAAGCACAGTTTACCTCCTGCCTTCGTCACTGCCTTTCAGAACACTTGGCGGAGCTGGTAATGTGGGAGGGTAAGATCTCACCCAGCAGTAACTGAGCTATAAATCTTATGACAAAGTTTAAAAGCAACAAAACTAAACCAAGCAAACAAGCCTTTAACACCACATCCCCCTTGTAACTGCCTTCAGCACAAAAAAGGGAACAGCTGAAAAAAACAGCCATAAGCAGAAAATGCTCAGTTCTATGTCAAGGTCCTGAGATAAGAGCTGCTAATGAGGGTGGTTCGGGGGTAGTTCCCACAGAGGAGTTTTTTTCCCCTGGTTCTGGCTTGAAGGAGGCTAGTCTCTGCCCCACATGATGGGTGGGCAGCACTTCATTTGGAAACAGAACTCCTAACTGGGCTTTCCCTAGTCCACGCTCAATCCAAAATTATCAAAAGATAAAGCTCTAACCAGAACAAGGCACATGGTATGGCAGAAGGATGCTACATGCACCTTTGGCCATCTTGTGACCACACAGGCCAGACTGAACAGGGCAGAGCTATCACACAGGTGTTCACAGCACAGAGTCCCTGGAGGGGGAACTGGAGACTCTTATAAATCAGATGCAGATGCTTTCCAGAAAGCAAGAGCTGCCCCAGCCCCGAGATCAACAGAGCAGCACAAATGCTGTTCAGTACAGAGCGTCCCTCATCTCAAGGGAACAAGCTGAGAGTCTGCAGTGCCATTTCCCCATTGCCCCATGGACATCTGCTGCCATGCCACACAACACCCAAATGCTGCGGTGGGAAAAAGAAGCCAGGCCTGCTTTTGCACGGAGCAGAGTTTGGCATGAAGGAGTGCAGCAGCAGAGCGAATGAGGCATCTAGCTGGGGCTTCAGAAGCATGAGAGCGATCCTCGCCCAAGCCGACCCAGCTGTAAGTGGGGCTGTAGTCCTTCAGGCTGGGGAGTCCAAACCAGCTGGATGTGATGCTGGCCACATGGCTCCCTTGTGCACTGTTGGTGTGCCTTAGCCCTCTGCCCAGCATGCGAGGCAGGAGCAGATGATGTCCAGCAAACTGTGAAGTACAGGGGAAACATGTTTGAAGAATCATCCCCAGATTTACATAAATGCACCAGTCCCTTCCCCAGGGAGACCTCATGCCTACTAGCCTCCAGACAGGCGTGCTTGAAACAGTGTCCACAGCTAAGCGGTGTTCCAACAGAGACATTTCACCAAGAAAGATGAAGAGCACGAGAGGGGATGATGTTTGCACCTTTGCAAGCTTATTCGGGGACATGTTTTTGAGGGCAGCACCATGACTTATTCCACCTGAAGCAGGACAACAATCTAGCCAAGTGCTCTGTGCCAGAATGCCCAGCAGGATGGGCACCACAGGTCCAAGCCTGGGCGTTGCTGCCTCACCAAACACTTCAGGAAGAGGCACTGATACTCTACAGCCAGCTTCATCATGCAGCGCCACAGCACAGTGCAACCACTTACAAACAAGGCAAGCGGAAAGGTGCCTCCTGCTCTGTGCTTCTGACAGGTCAGAAAACATCCAACTAAACCAGCAGCCTCTGAGAACCTCCTGTGACCTCTTCCTCCTCCCCCAACCCCAGTAGATAGACAGGCTTTGCCATGTGCCCTGACAGTCAGCAAACCCAGGCTGTTTTGGATTAAAGAAAGGAACAGGTATCTAAGCTGAGTTCCCTCGAGTGAGCAACCTGCAACCAGCCCCGTACCTTTAACACCAGGAGCAGCGACACTCCAGCACCTCATCTGATTGCAACTGGGGCAGTATCCAGGGGTGGGAAATGGATCTCTTATGAATCCATGTCCCAGGCCATTTAGGGCTAAAGCCAGTACCGTGAACTCCTGCTGGAAGCAGTGTCTTCTCCCTGCTTCATGAGAAAGCATCAGATGGGAGCATCCTTCAGGCTCCTTCTTCCCCACACAGGACAGGAGACTTCTGGGCATTATCAAATGAGGAAGCAAGAGCTGTAACACCTCGGAGACAGGGGATCAGCATTCTGGTGGGATCCCCCCCCTCTCCGCCGTTCATTATATCTGGATATGTGGGGCTGGGAGAGGAAAAGGCCAAGGCATACTATCGCCTGTTCCTAGTTGGGGCTGGGAAGGACGCAATTTAAACAAGGCATCTGGGGGAGCTCAGAAAACACTGCCCTTCCCTGCATGAATTCCTAGTGGCTAGATAAGTAGGGAAAACTGCAGCTCTAAGGATAGTGAAGCCCAGGATCAGGCTACCTAGAGAGGTGATGGAGTCTCCTTCGCTGGAGGTTAAGAGCATGTTAGACAAGCATCCTTCAGGGACAGTCTTCTCATCACTGCAGGGGACAGAGTAGATGCCTTCTTGAGGTCTCATCCAGCCCTGCATTTCTATGATTAGTGTAACTCTACCAGAGACTGGCCCTTATCAAATGGCTAAGCCACTGTGTTCACCTTGCGACTCATCCGCTTGCAGTCAGAGTGAGATGCATGGAAGAAGCTCTACTTGCACTGCTGGCAGCAAGTAGGACACAACCCCAGCTCCAGGAGTCAGGTCAAAACTCTAGGGAATCCCAGACCAGCAGCAGCTTTTAAAGCCAGCTGTTTCAGTTTTCCTGTTGGGGTATTCCTACGGGGGCTTTACTCTCATCTCATCCTCACCTTAAACCAGGCTGCTTTATCAAATGAGCCACTTCTTGCAGAACTGAGGTGGGGGGAAACATTCAAGAGAAGCTGAAGCAACATTCAGCTACTTCATCACGACTGGAACCAGTCAGCAATCCTCTTGAGTGGGGAGAATTTACAGGCCATTCCGGGGTGAGGGGGGATTTCCAGGGTATTTAAACAGTCATGACTGGGGAAAACCATTCGGTCCCTCCCCTGTATGCCATCACCTGTTCCTGGCAAGCTTTCAGATAAAGCTATAAAACAGCTCAGCCCATTGTGGGGGGAAGCGATGGGTTCTGTGTCATCACGCATACTTGTTGGTTGTACAGAGGAGCCACATCCCCCTGGACTTCCCAAAGCCTCTTCCCTCTGGGGAGATGTGTGCGCTGAGACACTCCCCTGCTGATTTCCAGATGAGGCATGATTTATGTTATGTAACTGCATCTTTGCCTCATAGTAACGCAGCCACTGATGACAGCCCTCCTCACCCTTGTGAACCAAAGGTCACCGAGTGGTTCTGCATTTTCATTCCAGTAGAATATCAGGTCACAGTTGCGGGTCAGATCTGTGCAACTGTTCAGTGTGGTGGGACTTGTTTATACAAGAGCAGAAGCCTAGCATTGTAGCTTCACATAGACTCATAGACAGTGAGGGCTCAGGAAGTCACATCTAGTCCATCCCCCTGCTCCAAGTAGGACCAGCCCCAACTACACCATCCCAGGCAAGGCTTTGTCTACCCAGGTCTTAAACACCTCTGAGGATGGAGACTGCACCACCTCTCTGGGGAGCCTGTTCCAGTGCTTCACCTCCCTCCTAGTGAGAGAGTTTTTCCTAATATCCAACCTCCACTTCCCTTGCTGCAACGTGAGCCCATTGCTCCTTGTTCTGTCATCTGCCCCCACTGAGACCAGTCCAGCTCCATCCTCTTTGGATCCTCCCCTTCAAATAATTGAAGGCTGCTATTAAATCCTCTCAGCCTTCTCTTCTGCAGACTAAATAAGCCCAGTTCCCTCAGCCTCTCCTCACAAGTCCTGTCCCCCAGCCCCCAAACCATTTTCGTTGCCCTCCACTGGACTCTCTTGAATTTGTCTACATCTTTTCTGTAGTGGTGGGGGTCCTAGACACAGGACTCCAGATGTGGCCTCCCCAGTGCTGAATAGAGGGGAAGAATCGCTGCCCTCGATCTGCTGCAATGCTCCTCCCAATGCAGCCCAGGATGCCAGTAGCCTTCTTGGCAACAAGGGCACACTGCTGGCTCCTGTTCAGCTTCTTGTCCCCTGTCACCCCCAGGTCCTTTTCTGCAGAACTGGTCCTTAGCTTGTTGGTCCCAAGCCTATAGCGATGCATGGGATTCTTCTGCCCTAAGTGCTGGACTTTGCATTTGTCCTTGTTGAACTTCATGAGAGCCCTATGGCCCTGTCTACTCTGACCGCTCACCTTGATTCCAGCCACTGGTACAAACCTAGTACAGACCTGCAAAGCTCTTCTTTCTACTCATGTTGCTTATCCCGCTCTCAGACTGCTTGGACTGGTGCAGTTGTGTCTTATATGGTTCACTGCTACCTATACTAAGACTTTGCATGGCTGACTAACTGGGATGAATCCCCAAGAGCAGACAAGTCTGTTCTATCATGAGAGCCGTATGCATCTACAAAGGGGTTGCTTACAGGCTGGGCAAGACACAGGTTATTTGGGATGAAAAGCCAAGCCAGAATCCTGTCCCACTCTGAATGAGACTCAGTACTCAGATACCAAATTCATAATTGTAATCCATACCATCTTTACATTTCTTCATAGAAAACAAACACGATACATCATAAAAACAACACAGTTTGGAAATCAATTTAAAATAGGCCGTAGCCAGCAACATGAGACCTGATTTCTGTCTTGGCAGAAATCCACCCCTCACTCCTCCCTCCCCTTTAAAAAGCAATTTGACAGACAAAAATGCAAAGGAGTCCCCAGAGAACATATTAGAAAGGTTAAAAAAATACAACACAATAAAACAGAGGATGGCAGTGACCATCACTCAGTGATCAGCTATCAAGTGCTTTGTGTCTGCCCTGATAAAGAGAACAATACTGACTCCGTGACTGGAGAAGCTGGGCTAGAGAATAGAGAGCACAAGATCCTCCTAGACTTCTCAGCCACCTTGTGACAAAGAAGTCCCCCTCCAGCGCAGACACAACCATTTACTTATTGTATAATAGGCTTCATCTGAAGCAAAGTTAGAAAGACAGTGTGCACAGAGATGCACACATACGCACACACACATACAATCCACGACTATGGTCAGCTGCCAGAATGCAGTGCAACAGGTGAGAGTGAGGGAACGTGTCTGAGTCATACCCCACCAATCAACTTCTCCAAGGCATAACTTGAGTTAGGTTAATAAATTAAAGAAGCCAGAATTTAAAAAATAACCAAGTTGTTTGGTTAGATCTCAGAAGCCAAGTTGAAGCGCTTCCTGACCTCCTCTTCTATCTCATGCAGCTTCACTGCCCGTAGTGCAATCAGTAGTTCTTTGGTGAGCTCCAAGTGATCCTCTTTCAGCTGGAGGAGGTACGCCCGAAACTTCTCCTGAATGGCAGCCCTGTTCCCCTGGGAATACTTCCTTGTGGAGTGCTGCTCCAGGAGTTGCTGAAGGCGCTTCAGCTTTCTCATTGGGATGTTCTGGTAAACCACAAAGTCTATCACAGCTTGTTTGCAGTCCTCCTTACCTGCGGCAGGGAGGAGAGAATTGGCACGAGGGTTAGAGAGCAATGTTGAAAGGAAAGCACTGCTGCTTTCTGCAGATCTGTCTGAGGAGTCAGCCCTGGCCACAGCTCCAGAGCCTTCAGGTCCAAGTTCAGCAGCACAGTCCCCGGGGAACAACCAGCTAGATGTCAAACTTCACAGCAATGCCCAAGCCCTCAAAGGGCTGCTGCTCTAGTGAGGGAGTCTACAACATGACCCTGATATTTGCCCTGTCTTATACCTGCTGGCCTTATGCCATGGAATCCAAGGATGGATTTTGTTCTACTAGTCTTTCCAAAAGCACACTGATTTTCAAACCTGAGGCCCACAACTCAAACCCATCTATGTGCATATGCTACCAGATGCACATGTAACCTTCAGGTGCCCAAATATGTGTAATCAGTGGGATTTGCTTGTGTACACATTTCATCGAAGAATTAACATGAAAGGGGTTAGGAGTTTTTCCTGTATGTTGAGTAAGATCAGATCAAGGTGTATTTGCTAGTCAGAGGCGGAACCTGAACTCAATAAGGAAGGAGCTGTTAGATTCTCTGGACTCCACAGCAGTTCCGTTGGCTTCATACTGGCAGAGAATTTTTGACCTGGTCTAATTTCTCATATCCCTGTGTACGTAGAAAGACCTGCCACAACTTGCTGAGTAATCATAACCGTGCAGTTAAATTCAGTGTAAAAGTTCAGGACATTTATAGCCGGTTTCCCACTTTGCAAAACCCCAGTTGCTCAAGAAATGACGTCTATCTATAAATAGTCCAAGGACTGGCTCAGAGCCAGCTTTTATTGCTTAAAGAGCAAAGGGCACATAATGCTTTAAATTGTCATGTGCTTCTCTTCCAGCACACACCTCCACTGTCAGAATCAGCATGTTGGCAATAGGCTGAATCCAGGCATTGGCTGAGTCATGACTTCTTTTGAAGAAGTGCCAAGCTCTGCTGTGGGTGAGGTTATTCAAACACTGGTAGCATCAGAGTTTTGGAGAAGGGAGAATATTTAGTAGGAGTTGTGAGTAGGGGGGGACTTTGGTGATGGAAGGCAACAGAGACCTCTCCTGCTTTGGTCCTGTCAGCTGCACATGAACAAAGGGCAGCACTTGTTGGTCAAGGTCAAAGGGCTGGAATTCTGCTCACTACAGCTTCACTGAACTGGAGGGACATCGCTACTAAGAGGAAGCAACCCCAGGATGTCGTCACCTTCCTACTCCAGCTACGTGCCTGCTCCAGGGCAGTGGCCCTGAAATAGTTGCCCAGTCCAGTCACTTGTTAGCTTGCAGGTGACGGGTAAGCAGAAGAGACTTGCTCTGCCCTTTCCTTACCCGCTAAATAAACGTGGAACCAAAATGAAAGCAGGTGGAGACGCAGGAAAGACAGGAGGAGGGCTAAGCTCTCCATCACACTACCTCTATGCTGCTGCAGGCTCCTGGCCTGCTTTCAGTTTCTCTCATGGTCAGGGCTACACACCAAAGCTACAGGCAGGTCCTTCCAACTGATACTTCCCTTCTGATAACTGCCATGGGACACAACAGGCACACACCCAAGCTACAGATGTCTCTGGGATGTACTTTATCTTCAGATCCATGCAGCAGTTGAGGGAGATGGAGAGTGCAGCAAATGCTACTGGAATCTAAATTGAGATACTGGAGCAAAAGGAAAGCAGGGGCGAGCAACGATGAGCCAAGAAAGGCCCCAGGAGCTGCTGGGTGGGCTGTCAGCTGCCCACAGTGACAGTGATGGGCTAAGCAGGAACTAAGTCTGGAGGACTGTCAGCTTCATTACACCTGATTCAATGCTTTTAAATGTAAAGCTAAGCTAATTCTGTATTCAGGCAGAGGAAGGCACTCCTATGAGCTCCCTCCAGCCCTGGCAGCAATGCAGTTCTCATGTGCGACTTTTCCCCCTGTCCATGCGGGCAGGAACAAACTCCTCCCTTGCACCTGCCTGCATCCCTCAGGTCCTCACCTGCCTCCTGGGTGCCATTGCCCTTGGCCATGCCGCAGGTAGTGCACCGAGTGTCATGGAACTGATTTCCTGGGACGTTGGTGAGCTTGCCCTGCTGCCGACAGTTCTGGTGCGCTTGGCACGGCTTGGTACTGGAGCTGACGTCCGAGAAAAAGCCTGGGGGGCACTCCTCGCACTTCGTGTTCACAAAGGGAGTGCCTGCAAAACAGAGAGATTTAGCCATTAGCTACCCAAAGCCTATGCCTGGCTGGTTAGGACAGGAGGTTTGATTCCATCATTATCTTCATGACAGCATGACCAAGCACAAGTCACCCCCAGATCACAGGGGAATGTCTGGCAGCCACGTTGCCCTTATGTATTGAGTGCTGGGCACACAAGGCAACAGCAAATGGGACTGGAAGTCTACACTGGACACAGCATTCTCTTAACAGCATAGTCGCACTTGGGGACTAGCATGGTCACACACATGTCAAGTCGCTTCTCAGGCTGGGCTTCAAAGCATCTTGCCAAAGCTGATCATTCCTCAGGGGCAGGCATGGGAGATCAAGGAGCATACAGCTGCTGGCGATTTATCTCACTAGGCAGTGATTTGTAAGAATTTGTGGCACACGCTGCTATTCCAGTAAGGTTCTTGCAACGCACATTCACCCAAGGAAGTGCTGCTTTCACTCACAGCCCTGCAGGGCTCCCAGCCAAGCCAAAGCAAAAATGGGCATGACCTATGATGTTTTACTTGCTTTACAAATACTGTGATGCTGGATTCCTAGGAATAGCTGACCAAAAGTCAGGGGCGAAAACACCAGGAAGTCTGTGCCTTCAATCTGATAATGTTGGTATAGCGACAACACAAACACAGGCAAGGCAAGGGCAGGAGTGGAGAGCAACGTGCACTGGACAGATGTAGCTGTGAGCACCGGCAGAGGACATTTCTAAACTAGCCTCAACTCTGCTTCTAATTCCTCTGGGGCAATGAGCCATCTAAGTTTACGGTGGTCATGTAATTAGGGGCCACTTTAAAATAAAATGGTCCTGACACAAAATGCAGCCTCATTCAGGGGCAAATCTGGGGGTGAAGCAGGGTGCACTTGCACACCCCCATGTCCCTGCGATTTGTGGTCCACCCAAATTTTGAACCAGCTGCTTGGCAGTGGCGGCAGCATTTCTAGTCAGGCAGCACTGAGGGACTCTTAACTTAAAACTCACTGTAATCTACCGGGTCCCTTCTAAACTCGTCATTCCACAGGCGTTAACGACCCTCTCTTCTTTCTAATGGTCTTGATGTTCCACAGGCAAGCTAGCCTCTGTTCTGCCGTTCTGCAACGAAGCTCTTGCTTCACAGTCCTGCAGATTGTTTTTAACTCGTTCCAATGACGTCCTAGTTGTTTTTGCTTTCATCTTACATTTGTTTGTGTTAAATCTTAAACTGAATAATATAGCCCTACACCCGTAGCGTGCGTAAAGTTCCTAGTTTCTTTTTAACCGGAGAAAAATGTGTGTTTTATGTAACGATACACCTCACCATCTGCACTCCCCTTTTCAAAATTCTAGATCCACCCATGGCCTCATTTGATTTTTCCCCCTCCACACATTATCAAGAATAAAAGAAACAGGGAAGTGGCCCAGATAGCCATTCTCTTTGCTGTCGCGTCTTCTCCCTGCTCTTGTGATCACCTCCCCTAGCCAAGAAGGCCATGTCAGCCTGTCCACAAGAAAGAACTCACTCTTCTCAGAGCATCCTCTCCCTTTCAGGGATAGAAATGAATCCTCATCCAAGAACTTCCATCTGGCATCTCAATTAATCCCTCAGATCCCCAAAGCAAGCTGTTGTGCAACATGCCCTGTAATATCCCCAAATTCCTTACCTACAAACTGGTTGTACTGCCCCCATCATAGTCAAAACTTATGCCTCT